CACAGAAAATAGTATTTAATACACAAATACCATACTGTGTGTACAGTATTGATCATAGGAAAATAAATAAGTTCACCAATTCTGACCTATAAAGGGACTTTAGGAAACATTTACCTACTAAGAATGTAGTTCATTTCAACTTTGCTTTATTAAGGGCTCCTTATATTATCTCCTCACTGTCATAACTTCAGTGCCTTAAAATGTTTTGCCTATAAAATAAATACACTTAATATGTACTAGGTAACAAAAATATACATAAGCGTGGCACAAAACTTTAAATGGAGACTGAAGCCCTTTTCATTAGTTTTTATCCAAAAACTAAAAGAAGCTTGGGCATCTCAGTCAATAGTGGTTTCCTATGAAAAGTTGGCAGGGCCATCTCATGAAATATGACACAGTGTTTGCACTAYGCTTACATCTCCAAGATACACAGGCCATTTATTATTGTTGTGTGGAGACATTGAATTATTTTGTGTAAATGCATAGAAAGGATGACTTTATTGCCACTCACTATTGCCTGGATTCCTTTACTTTCAAATTATTAAAATCTGGGGATATGGTTATACAAATTCAATGTTTTGCTTTACCATGTTCAAAACAATCCCTCCTCTCCATTCCCTCTGCTGCTAACCCAAAAGGAGACTCAAGTTTCAGTTCCATAAACACATATGATTTACACCATGTCCTATAACAACCATTATTATATTAGATGTTGAATTTTCAAAAATATATGCTATGGAGAATTGCCCTTGAAGATTTCACTCACTGTTCAGCTAAGAGAGGCAGACATGTGGACAGAAGATTAAACTATATGTGGCACATGCCAGTATGGAGAGATCTGCAGCAATTGTACAAAGGAACACATGAATGAGTCAGAGCTTCATAATCATTTTCAACATGTGTTGTTCATTCTTAATGTAGCTATATTTATTAGGCCTCTACTATTGTACTAAAATAGTGATAAACATGACCTCTAACCTCCTAAAGCTTTCCATTGAGGCAAAAAGAAAAAAAATTTAAACACTGTTAAACACACTCCAACACTTGCATTTGAGCATACCATGTATATGTGTATTATGGGTGTGAAACAGGAAAGTCTGGGGTGCTGCAAGAGAGAACAACAAAGGAGCATAATAGAGTGTCACTTCAGGCTCCTCTGAGGAAGTTGTTATTTAAACCAATACCAAACACATGAACAGAACTTAGCCAACTAAAAAGACAGGTGGTGAGAGAATAGGACAAAGAACATTCCAGCCCCAGGGATTCAGTTTGCACTATGCACATTTCTGCAGATGTTCCATGCTGCAGAGCAGTTGGATGTCAGCTAATTCCATGCTGCAGTCTCCTAATATCCTTCACCACTACTAATTAGTGTGACAGAGAAAATCCAGCATATACCAGATTTAGAATGTGCATATCCCTAGTCCTCATAATAGCCAACCCATTCCTTTTCAAGAAAAGAAAGACAGTTCATGTTGATTTCTTCACCTTTCCTGTGTGGGACTCTGTGGCATACCTTCTACCCTTACCTCCACATCATTTACACACTCAACTCTCAGACTCTGTATCCTCCTTCAGAGAACATTGTTGCTCCCCACCAGCAATACAGCCCTACATTCCAAAACAAGATCATTTGGTGCCTACATTCCAAAACAAGATCAGACAGAGGGGACAGAGGGACAAAGGGCAGTACCAACTATATCACTGGGACTGGGACATGTGGCCCACCAAACACTCCTGTTCTCTCTTCTGGAATATTATCCGGGATGAAGACAAATGGAGAATCATTCAAGCTCCAATATTAAAAAAAATCAAATACAACTTTTGTAATATATCTAAGATTATGAGTAATGAGAATAATTGACCTTGCTTCTTACAGTATATGGGAAGATGGTTAGTGAAGGTGGTAAATCTCATCCAAGAGACTGGAGAAGGCTTCCACATTCAGGTAAAATTCTGAAGACAGTCATTGCCTAGAGAATGAATTCCACTTTTCAATAGCAGAAAACAATTATAAACAACACAGCTTTAACTACACAGTAGTAGCCAAACTCAWCAGAAGTCAACCAGAAAGGCAGGGGTCTAAGGGCAGTTTTTGGTAATGCAGRAGCTAGTTAAGAAGGAAACAGAAATTGTCTGGGTCTCAAAGGTRTACACTGTGTAAATTGCWTGGTGACCACAGAGCGCTCTGTGATTCCACATAAAGAAAACATAGACCTTTTAAGATTGAGCACTAGTGTTTTAAACTACATAAATGTGTGCATATTTCAGTTAGGGTAGGAGATGTGGCTCCTGCTGCCAACTTAAGGCCAAGAAAGCCCTTTTTTGGGTTGTTTTATTTAATCTTGCCTGGCTAGAGCCCAAGTCTTCTGTGAAATGACTTAGCTTCCTCACCCCAGTTCCTCATTCCCCATCCCAGGTTTCCGGACTGGAGCAGCAGGAGGGATAAAAGAGGCGGGGACATCGCTGGAGCCGCGGGCCTGGGAACCCTAGCCCCCACTTGACCTGAGCACTTGGATCCTGCTGGAAACTCCAGGACATGGGCCTCAGATTGCGCTCCTGCAGCCTCTGCCCCCAGCTCTACCCTGGGCTGCTGCTCCTGGGGCTRTTGCTCCTATCAGCTGTGGTCACAGTCGCCAGGAGTGGTGAGAGCAGATGCAAAGAGGGGAGGGACCGACCAACCAGAACAGTGGGAATTGGTTCCAGGAAACCCCCCCCCCGGGGGGGGGGGGGGGCTGAGGCAGTGTCCTTAATGTTAATGGTTCCAGCTCTATTGTCCTGGGGTTGAGAAGTGTGAGGGCACTGTGCTAAGCTCTGCACAAGGGAGCTGCCACTGAGTCAATATACCTTCCCTCTGGAAATGCAATTCCTGGCTAAGGAAATGAAGGCCAAGGGCAGGGGTGGGGGGTGGGGCAGGGAGATTTGCTAGGTGCCTCTGGCCACTCCTGAAATCCCCCTCCCTCCCCTTCTCCTGGCTCCTCACCTTTTCTGTCACCCTCAGAGGACCCTGAAGAAGATAGGGAGTTTCAGTGCATGTGTGCAAAGACCAGGTACAAAGTCAAAGTCAAGGACATCACCAATCTGGAGATGATCAAGCCAGGACCCCACTGTGCCACCGCCCAGATGATGTGAGTTCTGGCCCTATATAGTTGGTACTGCCCWTTGTCCCTCTGTCCCCTCTGTCTGATCTTGTTTTGGAATGTAGGCACCAAAAGGTGCATCTCTTCTCTTTTTCCTGCAGAGCTACACTGAAGAGTGGGAATAGAGTTTGCCTTGCAGGGCAAGTCTCCTTCTTTAAGGCATTAATTGGAAAACTCATGCAGAGGTAGTTTCTACCTGGCTAAATGTGTACTTTGCTATAT